CCAAGATAAACTTATGATGTGAAAGTATTGGGCTGGGGTATGTTAGGGCACTTGCCTAGTATTTATGAAGACGTGGGTTCTACACCTAGCACCACAGGAAAAAAAAAAGTGAAATGATCACAGCAGATCAGTTTAAGAGGTTTGGGAAAGGAAAGAAGTTAGCTGAGCTGTACTCAGAATAAATCCCTGCAAGAATAAAAGAATAAAAAAATAAAAGAATTAAAGGCCTGCAAAGTCCTATATGATCTGGCCCTTTGTTTTGCCTCCAACTTTGCCTCATATTAACCTTAGCCAGATTCTATGTACTCTTGCCATACTGATCTTTGCTCTGTTCCATGAATATTCTAAACTTATTCCTACCCTGGAGATCTAGCCCTTGCTGTTCCTATCTTCTGGAACATTTTGTGAAGATCTTTGTGTGGCTGCTTGCTTGGGTTGTAGATATTTTCAGATAGTAACCAATCCTACTACTAACCTCATACACATTCTCACACATACTATAATTTTCTCTGTGGTGTTTATTGCCATTCTTGGAAATTGCCTTTTTCAGTGTTCCTTTGTGGTATGGCTTTGTCCCTTTCCATCTGTAAGACAGATCAGAATAGTGATCTTTATGTTTTCTGTCACTATCGCATCCCTAACACCGGGTACTTATCAGGCCCTCAATAAAAGGTTTTGAATGAGTATGAAACAGGGAATGAAATGCAGATTTTTTTAGGCTTGTATGGTCCATTTTGTATATCAAGGAAAGAATCATGAAGGAGGTGGATCATACAATGGGACTGGAAAAAATGGGAATGCTTGAATAAATGTAATGGGAACTGGAGGACATTTTAGGATAAGCAACCACCAGGGCTGCTTAGCCCTCACTTTTCAAGTCATAACATGAGTGAGGAATTGGAATTAAGAATTTTGTTTGGAAATGGGTACTGGATGCCTATATTGAGTCACGCTAGTCTAGATGAATCATGGATAACTTACATGACATATGATATCACTATGCACTGGTCATTCGTACTGATCTTGGAGTTAGGCAGACCTGGGTTGTATTTCTGGATCATTGTTTACTATCTGTGTCATCATGGGCTGATCAGTTAAGCCTCTTGTCTTCAAAATTGTGATAATAAGAATACTTACCTCATAGGGCTGTTGTGAAGATTAAGTAAGTATAGCCCTTAGTTTGTTTCTTGACATAGTACGTGGTACTTAGTATATAGCAGCTTCCAGGCTTTGTTGCTGTTTCTATTTGTTCTGGGAATAAAGAAAAGGCCTTTGTTCTCTTTCACCCTGTTCATATTATTGGATCAGGTTCCATCATGGACTAGAATGAGTAATAGGAGAGAAGCACTCTTTCTGCCTGAAGAGACAGCACCCTGCTTCCTGCATAGGGGAGTAATCAGACTCCAGGAAATTCAAAAGGTACTTTATGAAAAAGTAGTTCTAAAAATGACAGCAAAGTTGAAATGTCAATTTTCTGAAGACTGAGCTATTACAAAACTGTATTAGTGATGGTGGAAAATAACGGTTATTCAATTTAGTCTCTGAAAATCTTCTGAGCATCTATCTACGTACTTACAGTTAACACGATGTACTTAGTACTATGTCCCACTTGCTTAGTACTAAACTATACAGATGCAGGGGCTCGATCCTCACCTGATGGGCTTGCTGTAAGAGCTCCATTCTCTCCTGGAGAATCTGACAGTCATACTCTCTGCTCTTCCTCAGCATTTGCCGTCGTAACTTTTCTACTGCTGTCCTCAGCTCCTCTTGCTGTTTTTCGCTTAACAATTCACCAAACTTGATAACAGTTTCTTGCTGCAGAGCATTGTACAAAGTAGCTTCTAGTTCCTGGATTCTCTGGCAAATAAAATTAGAAAAGTCTAACTTTGGAACTGAGCATTTGTGCGTGGTGTGAGGATGCATACATGGGTGCCTGTGCTCATGGATTTGGTGCTTTAGTTTCACAAGATCTTATCCACAGAAGGAATTTCAAAGCCTTTCTAGGTCAACTCCCCTCTGAACATTTTCTTTATGAGATTCCATAAATGGTATCTAGATAACAGGTGAACTGCTCTAGTGAGAGAAACTTGTTCTCTTTTTTGGGATCCTGTCCATTTCATATACTTTTCATTTTTAGAAAACCCTTTATCACAATTACTGTACCTCCTCCTCAAGTGTATCTGAAAGCATCTATCATGGTGGCCATACTTTAGGAATAAGTGGTCTATGCTGGAAAAAATACTTGAAATTTGAGATATGTTTCATACACAAAATGCTACTTCTCATTCACATAACAGTCCTCTGTATTTCAAGATGGTTTAATGGTCTCCGTGTTTTTTTCTTGAAATAAAAATTGGGAAATATGAATCCAAAAATGGAGTCCTGGAGTTGGTCTGGTTTTAATACACTGAGAATGATCCTTGCTTTAGTTCTAATGTTTCCCTTTGAGTCCCTTCTTTGAGAGATGAAGGTCTAGTGTCTCTTGTATTTCAGTGTTTTTTCCCACATTGAGTTGTTAAAATCTATAATCTTATCCCCCGTAACTTTAACAGGAACGGCAGGGAATATTTTACTAGCTCTTGTTCTGGAGTAAGGATATGTCATCTTTTAAAGATTAAATATGGTTTTCTGAATGAGGACTTGATAGCTTCAGGAGCCACATAAATACTCAGCTTAATTTTATTATCTATAGGCAGGAGAGACAAGGGTGAAAGGGTAGGAAAGGAGGAGAAACCCACTTGCTTCTTTATTCTCTAATTAGTGACCAATTCTCATTCTTTCCTTTCCCCATCAATCATCACCAGAATCTCCTATTCATTCTGGAAGGGGAAGACTAAGTCATCCTTGTTATAAGGAGGGGCTAAGTGTTTTTTGCTCTTTTCCCCAAAGTGACTCAAGCTGCTTCCAGGAAAGCATTATAAAAACCTCTGCTAGCAACTTCTTGAAATATCCCTCTAATGTGTTCTTTTTCTTTTGATTCATTACGATGAACGAATAAGGTTGAGACAAAAAGAGAGAAGTAATAAGAGCTGTACCATATGAGGAATTTTGCAATATGAATTTTGTAGACTGGAAAAGTTCAAATGTAACTTTAATCATCATAACTTTCTGGAGGAGAAAAAAACGCATAGTCCACTTGCTAGCGTGGCCTCACTTGCTGTGGCTGGATTATGATAGTTAATTAAGGTCACAATTTCTGGAATCAGATCTACACAAAACCAGTCTACCAACTTGGGCAAAGTTTCTAAACTCTCTAAGCCTTACTTTCTTCATATGTAAGATAGAAATAATATTCCCTATGCCTCAAATGGTAACTATGAGAAATAAATGAATTGAAAATATGCATAAGAAGCATTAAATACACAATTTAAATTCTATCACTGGATTAGACTCCCCAATGATTGCTTTTGACTTGATAAAATTATTTTTTAATCTACATTGACATCCAATATGCCCTTCATCTAAATATTATTTTACAATATACATTTAATTTTTGATGAAGTATAATTTTCTATTAAATATTATAATATTTTAACAGGAAAGACAGGGATTTTTTTGGTTGTTGTACAATAAGAACTAGAAATCAATACATAAATGACCTACATGCTATGTCTGTTCAAATCTATTCAAATACACAGCATGAAAAATTAAATGGGATGCCTTATTTCATAGTACATGGACATTTCAGGTGTCTCCATCATTTGTTATACCTACCATATACGCTTGGTCAAGAGCTTGTTTTCTGTAGTCTAGTTCTTCCTCCAGATAGCCTTTTATTTTACAGAACTGTTCCTAAAATAAAAGGTCATATTGGTAAATAGGAAGAGCCAGGTAACTAGAAAGTGATATACAAAGTGTACTGATTTATGTTTTCTCCAATTCTAACGTAAGACAAATGTCTAGTATTTATAGAATTACAGATTTTTGCCTATTAGGGAAATAGTTCAACTTGCACACACATACACAGGGAATGTGAAAATCAATAGAAAGAAGCAAAAGATATAATGTAAAATCCACATGGGATGTTCTTAAAGATTTTTAATGCCAATCTGAGAGTATGTGATTAAGTAGAGATCTTAACAAGTTGTGTGTGAACACTGGTGGTCTTCTGTTTCTGCTGGTTCTGCACCCAGAGACTCAACCAACTATGGTATGGAAATATTTGAAAAATTACACTGTATTGAACATGCAAACACTCTCCATTATTCTTCATGGAAACACAGTATCAATCACTACCTTACAATTACATAGCATTTATTTCTGTATTAGGCATTATAAGTAATCTTGAACTGATTTAAAGTACATGAGAGAATTTGTGTGAGTTTATATGCAAATACCATGCCATTTTATATAAGGAACTTGACCATTTGTGGATTTTTGTGTTTGCTGGGCATCCTGAATCAATCTCCAATAGATATGGAGGGGTAACTGGGTATTGTAATAGTATATTTTTGTGCGAATATTACAAAATGTAATAGGGCAGCACTGTATAATAAACAAATTTAACTTATTCAAATTTATTTTTGTACAATTAGTACAAACAGAGACAAATAATTAAAGGAGAGGGGGTGGTGATTCTGCCTGCACTGCAACTTGGTAAATAGGTGTCTCCCTTGCCACACAGCTGGGGTGAGCTGGTAGACACAATCTGATGTTTCCTCACTTGTCAGTTCCTGTGTGCCTCTTACAACAGAAACGCCTTTCATTAGCATTTAAAACTATATTTTTGAGTACAACATAGTCCCAGGTGAAAGTCAGTTACTGAGTGTTTAACTGAAGGAATAAGCACTGCTTCCAGCCTGCAGGAAAGCCCAATTGCTGTGGCTTTTGCAGGAATGTGTAGTCACTGATCACCCCTGAGTTTCATTGCCTATGACACTACCTGGCACAGGCTGGTTGCTTCATTAATATTTGTGCATTTATAGAGGTTTCAAGAGTAATTGTGAATACAAACAGTTTTTGCTTTATGCCTTGACTGTAGAGTCTAACCTTCTGGTAAAATATAAACTGCATGTAAAATATAATCAAATGATTTATAAGCTATAATATGTTATAAGATATAAGTTACTATTCTTAATACAGAATTCACTGGCTTGAATTTTACTACATTTTAATTAATAATAATAACATTGATAAAGTATTGGTATAAAATTTTATACATTGTTGTAAGTTAATAGTGGCCAGTGCCTATAGTTGGAGGTTTACAGTTTTAAAAATTATGTTAAAATACACATGCCATAAATTTACCACTTTTATCCTTTTTAAGTTATAACATGAAGTATTCTCACATTATTATGCAACCAATGTTTACAAAATTTTCATCTTACAAAAGTGAAACTATTCCTATTAAATATTTCCCCCTACCCTTTTTTGCGGTACTAGGGTTTGAACTCAGTACAAAGTGTAGTGGCCTACACTTTAAGCCACTCTGCCAGCCCTTTTTTAGCGATTGGTTTTTGAGATAAAGTCTTGCAAACTACTTATTTGCCTGGACTAGCTTTGAATTGAAATCCTTCTGATCTTTGCCTCCTGAGTAGCCAGGATTATAGGCATGAGCCTCTGGTGTCTGGCAATTCCTCATTTTTGTCCTTTTAATCAAGGTAACCAAACTCTCTACTTCATGTTTCTATGAATTTGACAAGTCTAGTCTCTCACATGATCCAAATTATACAGCATTTGTCTTTCTGTGACTAGCTTATTTCCCTTAACATAATGTCATTGATGTTTATTCACATTGTAGCTTGTGTCAACAGTTCCTTCTTTTCTCTGGCTTAATTATACCACATTTTGTTTATTCATCTGCCAGTGGATATTCTGATTATTTCTACCCTTTTTTTTGTTGTGAACATGGATACACTATGAACATGGATGTATAAATATCTCGTCCAGACCCTGCCTTTGATTCTTTTGGATGTACGAATCCAGAAGTAGTATTGTTGAATCATATGATAATTCTACTTTGAAGTTTTTGAGCAATTATTATAATGTTTGCCATACTGGCTGTACCATTTTACATTCCCTGTAGTGTACAAGGGTTCTAACTTCTCTATATCTTCGCCAACACTTGTTATTTTTCTGTTTTTTGATAGCAGCCACTCTAATTGATGTAAGGTAGCTTAGGGATTCTTAAAATCATACTGATACCCACCATTTCTGTGATTTCTATTTCATAATAACTTATGGCAGAAAAATTACTTAGTTTAAGAAAGAAAACACTTAATTCAATTTTCTTTAGCTTTAGTTTTAGAAATATCACTAAAGCATAACATGTTTTTCTGAGAGACTAATGACTTGAAATTACTGGCTACTTCGGGAATTTTGTACCACAGTCTGTACATAATCTAAAAGGAAGACTATAAACTTTCATCCATTCCACACAACACTGGCAAAAGTAACTCTCACCTTCCATTTGCCTTGGAAATGTTACTTAATTTTTATGATAGTTCATCTTTGCACTCACCATGTCACTTTCTAATTCCATCATTTTCTGGTGCAGGGCAGCCTCTGCTCCTTCGATCTGCTGGATCCACTAGGAATTAAGAAGACAAAGTTTGAAAATGATTGCTTGATGAAGAACAAACCTCGTGGACTGATCCTTGAGGTGCTCAGTCTCCTCACTTAATCTCAGGAAGCAGACTGAGAACTTAAAGTGAAAACTGACTGCATTACTTCCTAGTTCAGACACGAGGCTATATAGTCTTCCATGCATGCACCATTAATTTAATAAATGCATTCTCCGATGTCTACCACATGTCAGGCACTGTGCTAGGTCCTAGGGCTGCAATGGCAAACAAGACCAAAGGTTTTGCCATTTTTGGATGACCCAATGAGAGGTCTTCTTGGAAACAACAGTTGCACTCAAATCAGAAGGAAGAATGGAGTATATTTGGGAACAAAACCAGGAGGAAGTTCTAAGCAGAAGGAGCACCCTAAGTGATATGAGTCTTTGAGTAATATGGTATGAGTCCACCATAGATATGGTTTAGTAGAACGAATTATGATAATGGATCTCTATTAAGTTAAATGTCAGCTTATGCCTCAGGGGGCAAACGGGCATAATTATTAAGTGTGCAGGTTTTAGAAGGAGACTATCTTGGCTTCAATTCAAATTCTAGCTTTTCATGGCTGTGTGGCCTTAGAAGATAACCTGATTTCTCTGAATCTCAAATTTCATATCCGTAAACTGAAGTTAATGATATGACAGCAAGGCATGGGGGCTCACACCTGCAATCCAAGCTACTTGGGAGGTGGAGATAGGAAGATTGATGTTCGAGGCCAGTTGGGGAAAAATTTAGTGAGAACCTATCTCAAAAAACAAGGTACAGCCAGGCACTGGGGGCTCATGCCTGTAATCCTAGCTACTCACGAGGCAGAGATCAAGAGGATTGCAGTTCAAAGTCAGCCCGGGTAATAGTTCACAAGACCCTATCTCAAAAATAGCCAACACAAAAAAAGGGTTGGTGGAGTGGCCCTGGGTTTAAACCCCAGTACCACCAAAAACAAAAACAAGGCAGGCATGGTGGTACATGCCTATAATCCCAGATACTCAGGAAGCAGAGGTAGAAAGATCAGCCTCAAAAGTGGGAAAACATATCTGAACAAAAAAAGAAAAACTGAAGCAAAAAAGATTTGGGGGCATGACTCAAGTGGTAGACTACTTGCCAGTCTAAGACTCTGAGTTCAAACCCCAGTACTGCCAATGATTAGTTAAGTAATTAACAACCATAATGTGACAATTAAAGGAAGACATTCATGTGAGCTGTTATTCATTGTGTACTGCATATACTAGTGTACTCCACTACCAGGTATTTCTTTTGAATTTACCTGTTATGAATTATGGACCGAGTATTTCTATGTACTAGAACCTGGATAATTATGGAGCTGTCCCAGGTCCAACCACCTCTCAGCTATTGGAATTGGGGGGTGGGGGCAGAGAAAACGGCATGTCGAGATGGGAGAGGCATGATTCTCCCAGCCCTCTGTACATATACAGGGCTTACTCTTGAAACAAATTTCAGTCAAAAGCCATGGTTTCTTGTATACTGTCAAGTTTTTACTAAACCTTTCCTCTTGTTTCCTGCCCTTTGGTCATGGGGAAACAAATGTGAGAAAACAAAAGTCATATTTTTAAGAGCAATGTGACACTTAGCAGTTAAGTCCTAAGCTTTAGATGTAGCTGTGTATGGCTCCTGCTCCACACTATTTGGGTACCCAGGGCATTACTGATCACCCCAGCCTTAGTGTCGCCATGTGCAAAATGAAGATAGAGGCACCTATGTTGTAGGGAACAATGTGACGATATATGTACAGTGTCAAGTATAGTGCCTGACCCACAATGTCATTCGAGGTCATTGCTATTGTTTTTAAATACAAAGACACAATAGGACTTCCTTGCTAGAATTTTGTTTAGGCATCAACTTTGGCTAAAGATCATATATCCATACAGTGAGAGTTCAAATTTGTAGTATCAGAAAATTCAAGACTGACATTTAGAATTGCTTGAGAGTGAAACTTAACTGAATGCCAAAGGTGAGATATGACTTTAATCTGTGAATTGCAAAGGTCTACACCAAAACCAGTTTCATAGGCCACGAGCATCAGGGCAGGCTTGTGTCTTATCCATCTGGTCGCTCACTTTCTACCACAGCGCTAAGAAGACAGTCATCACCCTGTGCTTGTTCAAGTGAACCCAACAGAGTCTGTCTTACAAAAGAGGAAAGTGGAGCCATGTGATAATTCACCACAGCTGTAATGGGCCATCCAACATGCTCTGAACCGCCTGCTTCCTGGTTTCATAGGATTCTTGAAAGAAGTCTGGCACAACAGTAAAGATTACGGACTCTGGTCCAGACTCTGACTCCATCAATTTCTGGCTGCGTGAATTTGAACAGTCACCTACTTTCTCTGTTTTTCAGATTCCTTGTGTAAAAGAAAACACTAATGTCTAGACTTGGCAGTCATAACAGTGCATAGTTTAACAGCAGCACTATACACGTGTTCATTATGACTCAATACACTTTGCATCAAACGTATAGGCATCGCTGATTTAGATGGATGTATCTAAGTAAATGCAATGCATGCGAGGTTGTTTTCTGTTTCTTTCACCTTCCTAGTCCACACCTTCCATCAATTGTTCCTTGTAATAAATAATTGCAGGCCCCTCATGAATCCAGCTGAGATGCTCTGGCCATAAATGCTAAATGAACATCTAACCTAGTGGTACAGATTGTGTTGTATTCATCTCTGAGCCTCGTGTCACTAGAACAGTGTCTGGACATTCACAGATTCACTCATTCACTTCAGTGAACATTTACTACCTATTATACTTGATGTCCTTGTTGAAAAGCTAGGAGGAAAGGAGAGGGAATATACATCATATTCACCCACATGGGCTTAAAGTCTAGAGGGCAGTGGAGGAATAAAAGTAAATGGGCAGTTCAGTACAATTGTCAAAATCCAGGGAGCAGGAACACGGTCACTGCAGAGGTGTGAATGGGAAAGCTTCTCTGTATGCGGAGCAGCCTAATAATTACGATTCAGGCAGGCAAAAGTGGAGAAGGAAGATGGGAACCTCTTCTAGGTGAAGAGAACAGGTAAAGGGCCAAGATGGAGACAGAGATAGAGATAGATGTAAGAGAGAGAGAGAGAGAGAGAGAGAGAGAGAGAGAATGCTAGAAGAATAGGTAGGTAAGGGCTGGATCCCAGGGATCCCTCTTGCCAAGTTGTAGATTCTGAAGTTTCTGTTGGGGACAATGTGGTGCTCTTAATTTGCTTGAGCGGGGGGAGCTGGTCAGGTCCCTGGTTTCTACAGATTTTATGTGACTGAAATTGTAAACACTTCAATAGGCCTTTCTAAAAGATAAGGCCTTTCTTTCCCAAACAAAAACAAAACAAAACAACAACAAAAAACCCCCATAATCACAAGGTCTTTCTCATACTTTGCAAAGTTAACATTAGTATCTTTTGTCATCTGACGCCTGCTGTATATTAAAATTTGGACAGCAAAATGTCTTTTAAAAATCAAACCAAAAAAACTCTTGGTTTACTTAAATGAGGATCCCAAACAGGATCATTTCAATATTTCTCAACACTCTTTGTATTTTATAGTAAAGTTACTTCTTTTTAGTTTTCTCCCTTTATATAACTATTTTGAGTAACATAACAATGTTATTTGACCTGTACAATTCCCTCATTTTAAATTGGAGAACATGTATTACTTCTAAGTGTTATGTACTCTGAAATTAAGAAAGCATTCTGATAAATGTATACAGTACAATTTTCACTTTATCCAAACATGCGTACATGATTCTCGTCTCTGTGCTGAGTGATGAGGCATTTTGCAAATAACCAGGCTCTTTCCTCTTCTTGCTTGTCTTGGCATTTGCCAGGTTTAGACACAAGAGGGCAAGAGCACCCCAGTGTTGCTTTTCTCCTGACAGTCTCTACGTTGAAATTTCTCAGTGAGACTACACTACAGTGAGCGCCTCCAAGATGCAGAATCACTGGAGAACAATAGGTAAGTGCACATCCACGGGAGCCTCTGAGACAAGAGCAATGCTCCAGTTTACCACCTCTCAACAAAACCCTTCTTAATTGGTTCCCAGCTTGGTAGGATTGCTTGAGTAATGTAAGAAGTTTTCCCATTCTTTAAGAATGATACATATTCAAGGTAAAATTATTCATCCACTCCAAATCAGTGTCTGGTGTCTGGACTTTTCTTGTGTATTCTCTCATCTCTTTGGGTTGGATCACATTTATTACATATTCAATAATTCAAGGTCATGTGCAGAAGGAATGCCTTCTACACCTTGCCCATTTCTTTGGATGTGGAGTCTGACATGAGATGATGTGAAATGTTAGTATGACTTATTACCTTCTCTGCTAGGGACAGCACAGTGCTGGCTTGAATTATGGCCACTTGTTCTTCATTTCTTAAATTCTGTAAAAAAAAATAAAAGAAGAAAGACAATAAACTGAAGATGTTTATGATATATACCCAATAGAAAAAAATATGTCACAGGCACTGCTGTATATGCATACATGAGACCTCAATAAATTCCTGCTCTGTTTAGTAATAATTCTTAACAAAGAGTTCAGAGTTAATTCATTTACTATGCCAAAAGAGGCATGTTATATGTGATTCTTTTTTCATTCTCTAATACTTAATTTTGCATTACTGTAAGTGTACTTCATTAATAGCAAAATTGTGAGAAAATCAGAAATCAAGAAACCATGAAATAAAGAACAGTTCTGTTCTTTCCTCTGGTAATCTTTCAAGAGAAAAACGGTCACTCCTCAACTTGCATGCATCATTCATGTCACAATGATGGTCCTCTCTGAGAATTAATAGACCTCGACCCTGTCTGGAAGGAGTTTTTAGAAAGGAAAAGGACTATAGCTTTCTACTTCACTTTTAGGGGCTGCCAACAATCCTAATATTTAGCAGGATTTGCAACTATTGTGCTGATTAATTTTACAATGGTGCCTCTGAGCAGCAGTCAGACAGTAATTAGCTTTAATCTCTACAGATGTGGTCTGCATTCAAACCTGAAACCTGCCCAGGAAGAACACTTTACTAAATTGGGTTTCTGCTACTACCTTCTGAGAGCCTTCCAGCCCCTGAACCATGCTGTCTGATAAACTGTAGATGCTCTCTTGGGAGCTACATGCTTAGGTGAGTGAGTATGGTGTCTCACTTGCTGTTATTTTACACGTGATTCACTGGCAAGTATTTCTTACCTGTGTTCTAGGTAAATCAATATATATGCCATATTTAGTTCATTACTCACCCCATTATCACCCAAGATATCAAGTTGCTTTATGAGATCTGGGATGTTTACATCCTGCAAAATCAAGAAGATGAATTCAAGCCAAAGACATAACTGAGGTCTCCCACTTTACCAGCACCTGAACACTTAGAGAAGATAATTGGGGCTATACTTTGTTGACTGTTTCCAGCCAGGTACACCAGGTTTTAAATTTCTTCTGTGCTTCTTACAACCTGTGTGAACTTGGAGTACCATGTAACAGTTCATTCTGGAGATAATAAATCTGGACATTAACTTTTCTTATAATTGCCAATTTAAATTTTTTCCAATTATGATAGCTATTGGGCAGAGAAAAAGTAATATAAAGAATCAACCAATTTTTTTCTAATTTAGAGGAAGTCTGATCTGGATGAATTTTGGACTTTCATGCAGTGAACTATAAAACTATAGTGGAGTTCTTTTTTTTTTTTTTTTAGATTGTTGGGATTAATTTTATCCTATGGGAAAGTGCTTGTTTTTACTTTAGAGCTTGAGTCTGTTTGAAGCAGCTGGACTCCATTTGAAACAGTTCCCTTGAATGTGAATTGTACCCATTGGATTAGGTTGGGATTTAGGTAAGAAAAATGCATCTCAGGAAAAGAAATAGACAATTTCTTTTCTTTTAATTAAAACTGAATCAGAAAATTACTTTGGTTTACAAATTTTCATGTAGCCCAGGAAGGCCAGAAGTTTAAATACTGTGAAAATGGCTGAAGATGGAAGACAAGGAAGCATGGCTTTGCTACCTCATTCCTCTACCACATTTGCAGCTCATTACTACAGCTCTTTCCATAGACTCATGTTCAAACAGCAGTACAGCAAAGCCCTACCACCAGGAAAGGGAAAGTCTAGCCCTCTATCCTAGGGAGAGAGAAGGCAATTGGAACAGGTATGTCCAGCAGCTCAGAGTGGGAGCAGGAAGGACCATACAGAGTAAAGGAGAGACCAGGAATAACAGGAGCCACCCCAGCTCTCCCTCAGAAGAAAGTATTCACAATGTGATTTCTTTACATTACATCACTTATTTCTGGGAAACACAGCCACCTCAATCCAACCTTAATATTTAAAATGTGTTCCAGTGGATTTAATATAGATAGAATTCTATTTTAGCTAATAAACAACATGTCATAAACCTTAAGCCCTTCTAAAAGGAAGAGATCCTCCCTAAATAAAACACATCAAAAGACAAGGTGAACTAGATGACTTCAAAGGTCTCTTCTGGCTCCCAAATCCTCCACAGGGCCTAGAAAGTCACAACAAAGGGATTCAGCAAATATGTTTTTATCTGGCAGACTTGAAATATGCTTCTTGAAGTACTGACTTTATTTCATATTTCCCCCAGATAATTAAGGCTAATTATCTCAATAAATATTTTGATTCTACACTGTTCTTTATGTTACTCTGTTCTAAATGATTATGGCTGTATTCTTTGCCATTACCATTCTTACATCTATCTCACATTTATTTTGCTCTCCTGGCTTTTCAAAAGATGTGACAATAGTCACATCTATTGAAAATATTCAAGTCCTACATGATTTGTACCAAAATGAGATCCAGTGACTGTAAGACAAAACAGTCCAGAGCAACATGTCTTTCTCCAATTCCCAGTTTTTCTAATTTCTACAAACATAAAATGTTTAATGTCTGCTCACCTTGACACCTTCCTTCATACAGTAGATCTGCAGAGCACTCACACCATCTGAGAATGGGTGAATTTGTAGATTAAATGGAGGGGATCGCCTCTCTCTCTCCTTGGAATACAGAGAAAAATATAAGTGAATTAAAAAAGCAACAAGAGATTAAACACTAAACTACTTCTCTCTTTATGCTATTTCAGCAGTTTATCAACATGCCATTTGACCAAAAAAAATCAACAACTAAACTCAAGATGCTCATGCTTAAATTGAATAGAAAAGAACTAACTAGTCAACTAAGAAATATGGGAGAAATACATAGAGATGGTGTTTTCTATTCCTGAAAATTTTTTTGATTAGGGAAATGCAGACAGCAGAGTTTCAACTTAAGCTGTATAAGGACTTAGAACGTTCAGATATCACAGAGTGGTCTTGCCATAAAGTTTTATGGTAGCAACCACCCTTTTGTACACAGTCTGCTCAATTTTTTATGAGCAAGATATACAGGCTGCAAGAGATGGCTTACTGAGGTTACCAACTGCTAACTTTTTCACAGACCTAATCTGAAATACTCTCAAGAAGAAATCACTGCCAAAATAATAGTCATACAGTCTTTTTCCTTATACTCTTGCCTATCAACCAGATCCTATGACAGATTCTACATGATACAATCAAAGTTCTATTTGATATATGTTTTGTTTAAAAAGCAAAACCCCAAAACAAAGACTGGAAATTTGGCCTGGTCCATCTAGTATGTCATAAAACAAGCTACATTGGTTCTTAGCCTTCTTTTTGCATAAATGCATTGTGGAATAAAAAGTTTACTTATAATTCAAATTTAACTATAAGATATTTTATATAGCATATTTTGAAATATAATTTTACTAGTAATATTTCAATGTATCAAAATTCAATGAAAGATGGACATTATTTGAAAGCAACGAATTAATGAAGTTTTAATCTATTAATTTATTTAGAAATTGTTCATCAGACTTGTCTATAAAGATGGCAGTGTTTGAAGAGCACATCTCTGTGTGCTGCAACAAGATTTCTGTACTTACCAGTCCTGGACTTGGGCAAGTTATTTTATCTCAGTTGTTTCAGCTACAAAATCCTGAGGTTAATTGTGAGTCCAAGTGAGAGTTTGAATCTGAAATGCTTAATTCAGCCCCTGGTCCCTAGTGTGCTCAGTGCATGACCTGATTATTTTTATTATTACCACCATCCTTTTCTTACTTCTAGCTCTAGGTTTCGAAACTCCAGCAGCTCATTCTGGTCTCTGGCATCCTGAAGTTCCTGTTGTAGCCGGTGATTTTCTGCCTCCTGTTTTTCTATCTAATAAAGCAAATCCTGAAGTTAGATGAACATTGCAGCTACAACTTTGCAAAGCAAGCATGAATAGTGCTCATTTACTCAGTAAATGAATCATCTAGACCACGAAAAAAATTCCTAGGTAGATATGAATAAAGTAAGTTTTTAGCTTTTCTTCTACTTATCTTTCAGTCAAGAGGTTTTGTTGTTGTCATTTTGGTTTTCATCATAGAGAAAAATGCCCAAAGACATCTGTTTCTGGGGATAAAGTCTACGACTTCTGTGAATAGTGAATCTGAAATACTCACATGCCTTTGTTGGGAGTCAGACTCAGTACACTAGACCCAGATTTAAGGGAATGTGTAAAGAAGATTGACACCTTTAGCCCCTGGAGTTACCTACCTACCAGTTGTCAGAGAAATAATTTTCATTGTGAATTGACGCTTCATAATTGTATAAGTTTATTGGGTGCAAAGTGATGCTATAATTTGTGAACATAATGTGGAATAATGAAATCAAGTCAGTGAACATTTCCATCACCTCACATACTTAACATTTTTAGTGATAACGTGATAAATACTTAGGAATTTTGAAGTATATAGTAAATTTTTTTTTAAAAAAATCCACTTACTTTGAGAATTTCAGTTACTTACAGATGAAAGACAAACTCCTTAATATGGAATTCAAAAATCTTAGTAATGTGGTCTTTAGCTTGTTTTCCAGTTTTACGTGTCATCAGTCATTTCTATATACTCACATGCAACCCCACACTTACTAGAATCCTGCAGTGCTGATTTACCCTATGAATGGACTATTCCAGGAGCTCTCTCTGTGTTCATCTCTGTCTGTAAAGGACTCCTCATTTCTCCTTTTGAAGTAGAAATCCTCTACTTCCTTGAATGCCAAGCTTTAAGGTCTTATAAGAGCCTTCCCCCTCCCACCCATCCAAAAGTGACACCTTTTCCTTCTACTTTCCTATTTCCTGTAGGCTTTTTTTCCTTAGTGACAGGGTCTGAGTATGTTGCCCAGTTGGCTTCAAACTCCTGGGCTCTGGCAGTCCTCTGACCTCAGCCTCTCAAGTAGTTGGGATGATAGCCATGCACACTGAGCTCCTACAGGATCTCTCATACAACTTGATGAAGCATGGAGTTATATCAGTTGTGTGCAGATGTGCTTCCCCTGTAGGTTCATGTCAGAGGCATCTTTGGATTTTAAGGGATCAGATAATTGTTAGGAACTATGGTAGATTTTGGGCTTCCTTGGTCATTAGCTCTGTGGGTGGATGTTATGTACAGTAATTACTTTAAATCTTGAATCTAGAAATATAAACCTAGGGGCTTTTTAACAAAATCACAGATGAATCTTATTTTCCCAGACAGATACATGTAATGTAAAATATTTAGTTTTCTTGTCACTTCTGTTTTCCATTTATTCTTAGAAGCCAAAGCTCAAAAATTCCCTTTTTGAACCAAAGAAAATCAGATAGCAGATATACTGGGAATTATTTTTTATGGTAAAGAAATGTAACAACATTTGTAACTAGACATCTCTAAGGTTGACAGGAAAATAAAGGTGGAGATATAATGGGGAATCCTATAACATTTATTATTAAAGTCAGCTCAAGTTTTTCTCCGTGGATATTTGTGATCTAATAAACTTTAAGAAGTTTTTAGAAGTTGACTTGGATTGTAAAGGAGAATCTCCTTCCTTGAATCTTGTATTGGATCAGGGATAGGATATTGGAGGTGGGGGTGATTGCTGGCTCTGGTTGTTAGGAACAACTAAGTCAGTTGTTCAAAAATTCCAATGCACAGACTGGGGCTGAGGTCAAGGAAGCTTCTTTCCATGGACCCTTGGGCCTCCTGAGAACACTGGTTCCTAATTCACTCTGTCTCACATCACGCACCAAGTGACTCACGCACCAAGTGACACTATCTCAAATTGCCGCACTAAATTGCCGCACTACAGGAAGGGAGACATCTGTTTCTTCCTTTTCATGCTGACCAAGTCATTGCAGATAATTTTTATTACTTGTCAAGGATAAAACATATTGTTAAAAATAACCCTAAAATAATTTCTTTATCACTATGAACTGACCTCTAGAATTAGTTCCTTTACTCAAATGCATTTTCAAATTCTGTTTCTGTCAAAGATCATCTAAGATTATTTTGTTTTCTTTCACTAGATTTGTAGAAGATATGTACCAAAGAAAAGCCATCTTTGAACTTAAAATGCTCTCTATTATGTTTAAATCAAAACTGTGTTCAGATAACCAAAATTTATTATCTATTTGGCCTAAATCATGTTTTTGTATTGTGGTTTGCTGATTAATTCCCTGGACGTGCTGTTTGTGCTTTAGATGTGTCTAAAAAACTATCTTTCCTTAAAAAAAATAGGAACAGCCAAGCTTAGCAAAAAGATTAAAGTTGAGAATGCAGTCTGTACTAAGTTGTAGCACAATCTTAGAGTCGTATTCTGTCACTTACTGCCACAAAATAACGTTGGTAGTATGTTTTTTGGGGAGGTATACAACCACATAGGATGTGTGCATGTGTGTGTGCGTCTGTACATATACATATATCCATGCACAGTCTATGTACAATATATATGTATATGGCTAACCAATCGGTGAGTAGCAGGGATCACATCTTTTCAAGTCTGAACAATGCGCAGCACAGAGCCATGCACACGTGCCACTTAACTGATGGCGATGGCAGTGACGGGATGCGGTTGAGCACGCAGCAGAGGACAGAGCAGCACCGGAAAAGCCTCCCCTTCCCTGGCCCCTGTGCCACTCCTGAGAGCACCCCCTGCTGCTCCTGGATCTCTCATCATTGTCTCCTCTGCCCGCTAGAGTGTTGTGCCCAACATACCTTTTCTAAAAGCTCCTGGTTTCTCTTAATGAAAAGTTGTTTATCTTCTACCCAGTGTGAATCCTGTTTGACAAAGAATATGGTGCAGTCAGCATTTCAGAGTGGCACAAAAGAGCATGTGTCCTCAAACACTTGGCCAGAGCTGTCTTCTTTTCACCCTGTTGGTTTGCCTGCACATGGTAACTGGTAGCTTGTAAATGGAACTCATCCCTGCCAGCTCCTTCTTCAAAGATTCTGGGGCCAAAGTTGCCAGGAACAATTTAACCCCCTTTTCATCATGACTTTCTACCTCTACCTTTCATTCTCAATAATCCAGGACCAGCCTTCTGGGGACTCAGAAGTGACCACACAGGCAAAAAGTGAAAAGGTCAGAATGCACACAGGCTTGATACATATGGATGGAAAACACTAAAATGCAGAACCATAAATGTAGCATAGAGGCAAAGAATGCAGCTGGGGGGTGGGACTTTGTCTAAGCAGTTTGTGACAAGTCTAGGCTATTTGTATGGGGCTCCTCTTCCTCTGGCCTTCTCTCTTTCTTGCCCACCTTCATTCACTGTGGTGGCTGGGTTTGCACTCTGGCCAGGAAAACACCAGGGACAGAAATACAGAGTTGCACATTCTGACACAGTTTGAGAGAGGTCACTGTGGAGAGCCAAGCCGTGTCCTGGATGCGGCCCATGCTGGGGTGAGCTAGAGGAAGGTCCGATCAAATGGTCTGCCTCTGCAGAAGAGCTACGACCAGGCGCCTACCTGCCCTTTCTGAGCCAGCGTCGCTTCCAGATCTTCGATTTTGGCTTTGTATCTGAGCACCTCTGCTTGGAGCTGTTCTTGAGCCTGGTGAGATGAAAATTACAGAATTCAACAAATCCAATGGTCATTCAACATTTTTCTTTCTCTCATGTTCCTTCACCAGTACTCAGAAAATGAGAGAGGAAAAAATTAAGAATTTTCTAGGATAAAAGTGCCTTTCTAAACTACTTTCATGATCTAACGTGACTAAATTCTTGTTTAAAACTCCCTGTGGTTCCCTTGATCATCAGGTTAATATTTGAGCTCTCTTTAGCTTGGCATTCAAGAACTCCTGTTACATTTCCAACCTTTTCATACTTCTTGTCACCATGGCATGCACCTTTACCTGTGGGCACATGCTTGTTTCCTAAATCCTTCTTTGTAACTTGCCACTGCTTTTTTTATTTGAATGCGTTCTTTTTCTGGGAAGCCTTCTCCTACTTTGCCTCTCCAAATTCCATCCGTTCTTTCAGAGCCAACTTTGTGCTTGGTATGTAAATCTAAATTCAAATCCTATCACTTTATCTGCCCGTTCCTGTGGTAGTATGAATGCTTAGTAAATATTGATAGTGAAACCTGCAAATATTATAGGATCGAGGTGAACATGTGATGGCATGCAGGGACAGCTCTTTCTAGTGATTGCTTTCCTAGTTACTCCAAGCTAATTTTTTTTTAAAATTAATAAACCAATCAATTAATTGGTACTGGGATTTGAACTCAGGTGCTGGACAACTTGAGTTCAAACAACTTTTTGCTTTGGTTAGTTTTGAAGTAAAGTGTTACATTTTTGCCTAAACCACTATCCTCCTACTTGTGCTTCTTGTGTAGCTGGGATGACAGGCATGCACTATTATACCCAGTTGTTTTTGGTGAGATGGGGCCTTGCTAACTTTTTGCATGAACTGGGCTCAAGCTGCGATCATTCCCATCTCTGTCTTCCAAGTAGCTGGATTCCATGAGCCATTGCATCCAGACCAAAGTTTTAACTTTTAAACATGTTTACTCTCTTATGCATGTGTATGTACAGGTATCTGTTACAATTTAAAAATATATAATGTTAACATTTATTTTTCTTTGTAAACAACTAACAGCAGTTGCTACAATACTCCCCAGTGCATTATAATCCCTTCAGAGAAAAAAGTAGGATTAGGATAAAAACCGTTGGGTAGCCATGCTCTCTCTTGCCTCATGCAGACTAATCTACGAGGCAGTGACAGCACAGTTATGGCATGTTGAGTAAGACGCTGAAGTGAGAGGCTAAGTTTGTATCTCAGCTTTGTGACCTCAGGTAATTTCATTAAGCACATTTAACTTCTCAGTTATTAATTCATTTTCTGTAAATAGGAGCTAATAATAGTATCTAATTCTAAGGATTGTCTAGGATTACTTAGATCACTCATGTCAAGTTCTCAGCACACCAGGAACACAGCAAGCACTCAATAAATCCTTCCTTCTTCCTTCCTTCCTTCTTTCCTCCCTCCCTTTCTCTTTCCTTCCCTCCCTTTCTTCTTTTCTTCCTTCCTCCTTTCCACTTTTGTATGTGTATGTACAGGTGAACACTGACATTTAAAAATATATAATTGTAATATTTGTGTATTACAATTATTATTTGTATATTACAAGTCTTCTTCTTCATCCTTTTTTGATGTAGGAATAAGAGAGACAATTATGATGTAATTAAAAAAACATTTCACCCAGTAAGATTTGAGTTAAAATCCCAGCTTTGCCATTTATTATCTGTGTCAATTCAATTAAACTCTCTGAGTCTTAAATTCTTCTTTTATAAAATACCTGCCTTAGGAGGCTGTCACAGGATTATATGAGACATTATCTGTTAAAATTCTTGATAAGCTGTCAAATACAATATTGTGCACTCATCAACTAAGAAAAGAAACAGACTATAACCATTTCTTTTGAAGATAAAAATTGTTTTTCCAAACATGAAACTAAAAAAAAAAATGGATTATCAAAATCCATATTATTTAAAATATAAGTTTTCAAATAGTAAGAATATAAACTATATGCTCAACTATCTTTCAAGGAACAAAAGCATTTGTCTGAGCTGGTTCTAAATGGCTTTAGATCCAAGGTTTGTTGACGTAAACGACAAAACAGTTCAAAGGCTGCAGAGGAGAGAAGGGGACAGGGAAGTGTGCTACTGACGCTTTTATGTCTGTGGTACTGTCATGCTGTGACCACTGCAAGCTAACGCAGAGCACTATGCAGATGCACACTACCTTGGCTTCTCGTTCAGCATCAATGATGCCTCCAGTCTGCTCCTGCAGGAGGGCATATGCTCTTTGGAGAGCCTGGTATTCTTTTGTTAGTTGTCGAAATCGTAGTTCAGATTCTTCAGCTGCTAAACTCTTGAGGTTAAAAATATAAGCCAAAAAGTAATTGGGTTATGTTCAGGTTCTGTGTTCAATGTGAATACTAATATCTGCCCACTTTTAAAAAAGAAGTTAAAGTTTGTTTGATTTAACATGGTTTGATTTTATTTTTAATTTAAACTGTTATTACACAAATAACAATAAAATTTGTTATGACACACATGCTGTTATACTTCCAAGGAAGACATTGCAGAAATATGTAAGCAGTTATTTAAAGAAACATTTACTTTTTCATAAGGAGCACATACTCATTTATTTATCATTACTACCTGTTTCATCTTGGATGTCAGCCATTCCAAGATCCATTATGAGAAGACATACTCAGACTTTGAATCTAAATTTGAGGCAATGACACTTAAGAGTTTTACTTTTATTTCTTTTTAATTCACTATGTCCACAAATAAATTATAAATTTTAATTATATTTTATCCTAAATAAATTATAAAAACTGTTTTATAGATTTAGGTCATAAACTTTAGGGCATAACACTATCATCAGAGAATTTTACTCTACAGATCCTGAAGCAGGAGATGGTGTTTGGGTCCAGGAATTTTTATTGTAACCAAACCCTCTAGATGATTTTCATGAAGTGGTACCCAGAGCACACTTTGCCAAATACTGCCTTGGACTATATCCAGAAGCCTTCTGAGCTTCTTTTAGTTCACACCTTCCCCAGATGAAGAATTTTGGAGAATAACTTTTATTTTGAAAGAAATATTCAAGCTATAGAGATGAACTGTAGAGAAGTTTCTAAAAAGGTTGCATGAAATAGATGATGTTATTTTTCAAGAGGTAACAAAGTCAAGTGTGGTCTCAAACTTGGTCACTGTTATGATATCAATTTGTATGAGTCATAAAGGAGAAGAAAAATGAAATGCTTTTTTCCTCCCCCTTTCAGGAAAGATTTGGTGACAATATCACACAAGACTAGAAGAATGGAAAAGCTTACTTCATCCAAGTCATCGTCGGGAGTAGCCGGTGTTCTATCTGTTCTAAATGAGGCCATGGATGACGTCTCTGAATCCATGGAATCCTCATCATAGCCAATGAATGGGTCCAAAACAGGCCTCTAAATGAGGGAAAGGACAAATGTACAGACACAACCAGAAATGGAGAAAGCTGACATATCAAAACTCTGCTAACTGACACATGTACACGAGTAAAGAATTCATGAATTCTTTTAAATGCAATAATACTAATACATGTTTCTCCTCTATTATTCACTTTGGCTCATTCAAATATAACTCATTAATATTTGGATGCCTTCATAAAAACATGATAGCCTCTCTGTATTACATTTTATATCATGATGAATTAAGGTAGTTTATTCTTTCTAGTATTTAAAATATGCTCAAAGGACTTCAAAAATTTGGGTATCTATGTCAAAAGGGTTATCAGATCATCCAATTCTGCATTCAGACCAGTTGATGTGCTTGGCAAAGAAAATTCTACCAAAATCAAACAAATGGAAAACTTAAGATTTCTGTGATTCTAAAAGGCCATAAAGATATTGGTGGACCGAGTGTCATTATCAATAATAATAATACATAATAATAATTCAAACATATGAAGCAAGTATAGGATAGGGACCAAACACCAATATAATTCAGTGGAAAACATCAAATCATGTGTCTTTTTTTCTTAAAGTGTAACTCTCCTACTCGTCAAGTGGGCCTTTCTAT